GCTTCTGGAAGAGGACTAATTTTAAGATAGACTTCTGTTAATAAAAACCATGATTTACATATATGTCCTTGCATCCACTCCAAAGGCTATGCTGGGGGGTGTGGGAGATACATGGTCTCTGCCCTCAAAAAGCTCGCATGCTTGCTGAAGTCACAGAAAACATGAGTCCAGGAGTTCAGGGCCAACTGCTGACAGCTGGTGAGCTCAGGGTGGGGGTGGCTGGCTACAGCACCTGGGGAATCCTCTCCAGATGTGATGCACTTTGTGGCGGCCTCTGAAAGCCCTCTGCTGTGCTTACAAGTGAGATACCCAGCTGCCATCACTGAACAACATGAACAATGAAGACAGGTCATGCTAGCCTCTAGAGGGAAAAATCAGAACATGGGAGACAGAAACTGTTGCAGGATTTCTTTTCCCTTGGTCCATGGTTCTTGGTCACCCTGCTTTGAAGAGTGAAGAGATAGACCAGACAGATGAAGGGTGGTGGGCAGCAGAGCAAAGTTTATTGAGCATTAGTACAAAGCTCCCAAAGAGGGAGGGGACCCAAGAGGGTTGCCACGAGCGTTTCTAAGTCCAGGGAATTTTATGGGCTTGTTGGTGGGCTCTTTGCTCTGATTAACCCTCCATGCAACTGTCATGCAATCAGGTTTTTTGTCATCTGTCTATCACATGGGAAAGGTTGGAGGGCTCCTTCCAACGTGGTATAAAATCCTTTTAAGGGTGGTTTCCTCATAGGGCCTTCATTAACATGAGAAAGTCCAGGGCACCTGGGTGGCTCAGTGGTTGAGCATCTGTCTTTGGCTCAGGTGTGAGCCCGCGATCCTGGGATCGAGTTCCGCATTGGGCTCCCCATGGTGAGCCTACTTCTCCCTCTGCCTATGTCTCTGCCTCTCTATGTTTCTCATGAATAAATTTTTTAAAATCTTTAAAAAATGAGAAAAATCCCCTGCAAGAAATGCTAATATCCAGGAAGAACAGGAAAGACTGAAGAAGACCAGGAAGCTCAGCTAGTAAAAACTGATCCTGGAGTAGCACCCAAGTTCTGATATTAAAGTGGCAGGCCCAGGAAGAGAAGACTTTGGTGTCGCTACTTTCTTGTAGTCCTGCTGGGGGAGGGAAGAGAGAACACGGCCTTCTTTATCTGCTTCTAAAGTAGCCATTTGTAAGTCTGTAAAACATATTGAGGAAAGGGGCTATCTTTTATTCATTTCTATAATCCAAAGGCTGAGCACTGTACTGAGCACAGTTGCTGCCCAAGAGGTGCCTGGTAGAGAAACATCTGATTGAATAAATGGATGAATTCAGACTCTCTTATAATGTCTGGGATCTCAGGGGAAGGCACAACCAGACCTGCCCTACCGGGTAGGGGAGGGAAAAATCCCTTCCAATGAGGAGGGTGTTTACAAAATTCTCCCAGGGGCCCTGAGCTTTACTCTGATGAGTCCAAGGTTCCTTGATCATTTATCTGGAGGACGATCCATAGTGTTCACAGAACTCTTGAAGGGGTCCATAATCTCCAAAAGGTTGAGATTCACAAATAATATTCTTCCGACCCTCTTGTTAAACCCTTTAACTAATGGCCCAGTTAAGGACATGACTCACCCTCCCAATGTGGTTTGCCTGCCTCCAGTCTTCTCCCTATTATTCATCCTCTCTACAGATAAATTTGCTGAAAGCACAATTATGATCATGTCATTCCCTTACTCCAGAATGATGGTTTCCCATCACTCTCAGAATAAAGTCTCAACATAGTACCTGATGCTCCAGCCGAAGTAGAGGACTTCCTTTTACTTAAAATCCCTCTCTACTTCCTCACCTTTGCTTCAAGCCTGGGGAGACTCACCTCTTCCCAGTCATTGCCTGTCAAAACCCTACTCATTCTTCACCCTAACTCATGTAGTTCTACCTTCACAACCACCTCCCGGGATGTGCCACTCAGAGGTGATACCTTTTACCACTGAGTCTGTGTATCACTTTGTTTGGGTCTTGTGGCCAATGTCTAGGTGTATCTCCAAAATCCATTTTCCTCTTCTGCCTGGGCACAGGGCCACCTCCCAAGATGTTTCCTGGTCCTGCTTGCTAGGTATGACTTGCAACTAAGTTCTTGCCATGTGACAAAGCTCTTGCCAAAGGGATCTGATGGAAAGTGAAGTGGACAAATTCCACCTGACTTGCTGCAAAGGAGATCCCTTCCCTGGAACTCTTTCTTCCTTCCCATGAGCTAGAATTGTGGATGTGCCCATTACCTTGTGGGGAGAAGAACTGCTCCACTAGCCTAGACTGGCCAGCATGTAATGTCAGAGAAATCATCTGTCTTACTCAAGCTCCTGCATTTAAGGGCTCTGCCACAGTGGAGGCTTCTCTGTTGTACTGTGGCTTATAATTATTTATGTAAGTGTGTCATTTTCTCTACTAAGAAGCCAACTCCTTATAGGTCTCCCTGCTTCCTGTCGTGCCCCCTGCATGCTATTCTCAGCTGATATGATCCTTTTAAAAGGGAAGTCAGATCATGTCATGCTTTGCTTAAAACAACAACAACAAAACACTTTACTGGGTAAAAGCAGAAATCCATAGAATGGCCTACAAGGTCCTATAAGGTCCATGATCGGCAGCCTCCCACCGATTGCTCTTGCCTTATTGACCTCATTTTCCTTATTTACTCTTCCAAGTGTGCTCCAACCCCGCTGCCCCAACACTCACTCTGTACCAGACACACCACCCACTCTACTATCCTGCAAACAAGTTAGATACTCTCCTGCCTTGGGGTCTTTGCTTCTGCTGTTCCCCCTGCTTGTCCCAGACAGCAACATGGCTCCTTCCTTTATGTCCTTCAGGTCTTTGTCCAAATGTGACCTTCCGAGGTCAGCTTTCTCTGACTACCCCATTTAAAACTATACTCTCCCTCTCCCCTACTATCACCCTAGCACATTATCCCACTTCCTCGCCTCAGTTTCCTCTACAGCACTTACCACCATTTGACATATTACATATTATCTTTAACGACACCTTTCTTGTTTGAGAGCAAAATCTCCACAAGAGCAGGGTTTTTTGACTGTCTACTATCATATTCTCAGAGCTGGGAACAGGGCCCAGTACATTAAAAGTAGTCAACAGGGATGACTGAGTGGCTCAGTGGTTTAGCGTCTGCTTTTTGTTCAGGTCATGATCCCAGGGTCCTGGAATCGAGTCCCACTTCGGGCTCCCCACAGGGAGCTGGCTTCTCCCTCTCCCTCTGCCTATGTCTCTGCCTCTCTCTGTGTCTGTCATGAATAAGTAAATAAAATCTTCCAAAAAATAAAGTAGTCAATAAATATTTTTTGAATGAATGGATTCCTTGGGTGCAAATACTCTCTAGTTCCCTCCATGCCTAGCACACTGCTTTTTTTTAAAAAGATATATTTATTTATTTTAGAGAGGCAGAGTTGGGGGGTCGCGGGGAGGGTGGAGAGGGAGAGAATCTTAAAGCAGACTCCCATGCTGAACACACAGTCTGACCCAGGGCTGGATCACAAGGCTTATGAGATCAGGACCTGAGCTGAAACTAAGAGACAGAGGCTTAACGCACTGAGCCACTCAGGCGCCCCCACACTGCTTTGCATGCAATAAAGCACTCAGTAAATATTTAATGAATGAGCCATGGTGGAGGGCTACTAGTATTCTGTCTTGCTGTTTGCTTCCTTCTCCAAGTACCCCTAGATACCTGGGCCTATGCTAAATTTCTGAACTTGTAAAAGTATGACAAACGGTCCGAAGGAGAGGTCTTCCGTGGACACTCCTGAACATGGCAATAAGAGAAAGATAGGATGCTATTCTGAGTATTTTCTACCTTTACCACTTAGACAAATCCCTTTCCATTTCTGGGTCTTAGTTTCACCATATGTAAGATGAAGCTAGGAGAGGAGATGATTTCTCAAGTCCGTTCTATTTTTAAAGCTTGTAGTGATGGTGCTCATAACTAAAATTGTATGGTTCTAAAATTATATGATTTTTCTCTTCTAACCTGTGCTCGGAATATGCTTAATGAAAATGTAGGGTAAGGAATGAAGATCTTCTTTGGTCCCATTAGCAAGTATCATTATAGAAATAATAGAACATGGCATAAGAGGCCACATTAGCAACATGCAGAAATGAAGCTGAGGCTCACATGAGGCAGATAAAACCAAAAACTAGGTTTTGTGATTCATTCAGGGTTATTTATCTGAATTCCCATACGTATACTATATATACGTATATATATTTTCTCTCCTTTCCAAGGATTAGATAAAGTAGACCTTTATTGCCAAGGTATTTTGGAAAACCCACACTCCTCCTCTTGTTTGAACACACTTGGCCCCATCATCCGAAACAAAATACAACTTTCTCTTGCCATGTCTCTGGATGATTGAGGTGACGTGCCCTAGGTCACTTTCCCCTTGGGATTTGTCTTCCAGGCAAAGGTGACACTACACTGTTGCAAAGGGCAAAGATGCCGTTTGGAGGCACCTGTGCCACAGGTGTCTCTCTGTAATGTAAACGTACTTCAAATCAGCCCTGCTCTTATAAAGAGATAAAAATCACATTCAGAAACATGCAAACTCCTATTCAGAAATACCCCCTTCATTCTGAGAAACTGGCTGCCATCCTGATAAACGGATTTTCTTAAAAGGCACTGTAAACCAGAGCCAGACTGACTTTCCGGTGGTGAAAGAAAAAAAAGGCGTGTCCGATTTGCCGCTTGAGGGAACGATGTGGTACCACGCGTCACCAATATCCCTCCACCTACTATGAAGCGCGGTTCGCGTTGGCGCTCACTAGCCAGCGCTCTCCGGTGGCCTAGCTACGGAGGGCGGGGCTACGGCTTAGCCTCGCCCCTTTCATGGCCTCCAGCCAATACATAAGCCATCTGGAGGCCAGCCAAGCTACGGCGAGAACCCGCCCCTCGCGCCTGCTTAGCTAATCAGGGCGGCGGGGTGTGGACTTCCCCGCTGACCCCGCCTTCCCGGCGCTGGGTAACTTAGAGCCGCACGCCAGGCGGGAATGTAAGATGGCGGAGTAGCCACGCGAAGCGGTTAGCACTGAATCTCTTGGCCGACTTCAGGTCCCGTCTCAGCAGCAGCCGTGATCGCTGAGCAGAGAGTGCCTAGGGTAGGCAGCCAAGATGCCGAATATTAAGATCTTCAGCGGCAGCTCCCACCAGGACTTATCCCAGAAAATTGCTGACCGCCTGGGCCTGGAGCTAGGCAAGGTGGTGACTAAGAAATTCAGCAATCAAGAGACCTGGTAAGGGCCAAGTTGGGACCCTGACCGGCCTCACCTGCCGGGGCGGCGGGGGCAGTGCTTGGACGACCAGGGGTAGGGGGATGGGGCCGCCGCGTGAGTTCTGAGGGACCGGGACTGGGGCGGGGGAAGGGGCAGCTTTTTTGGCTAGAGTGCCCCGCGGCTTGTTTCCGTTATTTTACCTCTCGCGGGAGGGTCACGTTCATTCTCACCGTGCCGTGGGGTGGAGTCAAAATGGAGCATGAGGCGAAGCTGCTGGGTTTGAGGGCAAGAGCTGGAGGACCCAAGGCAGGGATAGCGGCTGCCTAGAGCGACGGAAAGGGAAAGACGCTTAGCTTCAGCCAAGGGGACACGTGGCTTTGTCGCTTCACTGTTGAGCCATCCAGACGGGACTGGGTTCACTTTAACTCTTGGACCAGCTTGCTTGGGAAAACCTTACAGCGTACTGAACCCTTGAACTCTCCTGGTGTTTCTCTTTGAGACTAAGGAGCTTTTCAATTCGAAACGGTGTCGGTCGGTTTTCGTAGTGAGGAAAACTGACATTATGTACTTGAGGGCGCCAAAATTATTACTGAGGACTTCCCTCGCATTGGCAGGCGATTGGATTTTCACATCTTCAGAATCACATCTTTAGAAGTGGAGCTATGCTGAAGTTAAATGCAGTTGCTCAGATAAAGTGATGCATTAGCTCAGCATCCTGATTGCCAGCATCATGCCGGCTTGAGCCATCCAGAATATTTTAGGGAACCTTAGTTCTGGAATCCTTGAACTTCCCCAGTGTAGCAAAATGCAGAAACCTATTTTTCAGGAACAAAGTCTATCCTGAACTTGTCCACTTCTCTAACCCCTTGTGGGAATTTAGGAATCAGCTTTTTTTTTTTTTTTTTTGATCCCTGAGTGTTAAGATAATGGTGGAAAGATAACGGAGTGAAAGACCGGAATTGCAGTGCATTGCAGCTAGAATTTTTTTCATTGCCTTGCTAATTAAACTTGCTCCCTCCCCCTACTTCCAACTTCCTCCTGCACCTTGGGGGCCATATTAAAGATAAACTTACTTACCTCATCCTGCCACCTGAATGGAGAATTTTCTGGTTCTGTTAGGCATACTTCGTGTTTCCTTGCCCTGATGATCAAATCAGAGCCAATCTCACAGATGGCAGTCATCTGTTAAGGGGAAAGTTTACACCAAACCTAGTGACCAGTTAAATTAGTTAACGTTACTTTCGATATATTTTCCTAGATGCCTTTGTTTCCTTCTTTTTTCCCTATTTAAACTTATTACTGAAGTGTAACTACCCTATCCTTCCTAGACCTGCTGATAAAAGCATTCATCTGTAGTGGACAGCTCCCATCTGGGTACTTGACTATTGTGCCGCTGGTTGTGATACAAATGATAGTGCAACGCTGACAAGGTCTGTAACCAAGCAATAGCTTAGAAGAGGCTGGCCAAGCAGTTGTCTTTACCTGTGACCACACCGTTATGACGCCATAATAATAATAATAAGACAGTCCAGGACCAGACTTTGCAAGTGGCATTGTAGGTAGGGAACAAGAATGTTGTTCATTTAGGGAGATTTTTTGGCCCTTTTAGAGAACTGTGGTTACTATTATTTTTTAAAGATTTTATTTATTTTTTTGAGAGAGAGATCACAAGCAGGGAGGGAGGGTAAGGGAGAAGCAGACTCCACCGCTGAACAGGGAGCCTGATGAGGGGCTCGATCCCAGGACCCCAAGATCATGACCTGAGCCAAAGGCAGATGGTTAATCGACTGAGCCACCCAGGACTGTAGTATTAAATCCTTTCCTTGCACTTCTAGGAAAAACACGAAGACCTTATTTTTCTTTCTGTTAACCCTTCACTCTGTGCCTCATACAACACCCTAGAACCTGAAGGTATATTGGGAGATGGGGAGGGTGAGAACAATTTAGTGTTCTGACTGATCTGAATTCATCAGCAATCCCAATCTACGACAGAGATCAGGCTGGTTTCATTTTTAAATAGCCAGATAATAGCATGCTTGGAAATGCTAGTTAAGATTAAGCCCAACGTGGAAAACTGCTGACTGGTTTGGTTTCCCTGTTTCAGGCTTAATCATTAGCTTTTTGGTTCCTTACATGTTCTGAAATCTTCATTGAACATAATGGAATATGTTACCTATGGAACTCCCCCCCCCCCCATCTTCCCTGCCTTCACCTTTGGCTCTTTTGCACTGAAGAAATGGAAACTGCTGCCCTCTGTAACTCTTGGGCCCTAAAGGACATGGACAGAGCAGCTCAGTGGGTACTCTGGGTCATCAGGTGTAGAACTGCAGAGCCCAACCTCAAATGAGATAGTTTTGCTATCTGTACAATTTGGCAGAATCTCAGGGGTTGGCGCTCTCTTGAGCAGCGTGGCTTTTCTCTGCCAGTCAAGATCATCCATGACTGTCCAGTTATTTAGGAAACATACATACATATATACTGTAGGTGGATGTATCTCACACACACACAGAGACAGAGATAGATAAAAGGGATTAGAAGCTCATGCTCTGGAATCAGAGAACCTACCATTGAAATCTTTGCATTTCTTTGCCTCAGTAATCTCGTCTGTAAAGTAATATCTATCCATGGAATTATTGTGAAGATGAAATGAGATAGGAGTAAAGTTTTAGAATGATGTCCCAGCACAATAAATGCAGTGAATGTTGGTAAGAGGTGGTGGTGATGGTATTGCAGAAAATGTGGAAAATACATAAGAGGACAAGGGGAAAAAAGACACCTCAAATAATCCTACCACCCACAATCAGCTGTTCACGTTTTAATTTATTACCTTCCAGATGTTTGTGTTTATATACTTTTTCAAAAATGTAAGATGTTGGGTTGCCTGGGTGGCTCAGTTGGTTAAGCACATGCCTTCAGCTCAGGTCATGATCTCAAGGTCCTGGGATCAAGCCCCACATGGGGCTCCCCCTCAGCAGGGAGTCTGCTTCTCCAGCATCCTCTCCCTCTGCCCTTAACTCCATTCCTGCTTCCTCTCAAATAAATAAGTAAAATCTTTTTTAAAAATGTAAGATGTTTGGGGCACCTGGGTGGCTCAATCAATTAAGTGTCCAACTCTTGGTTTTGGCTCAGGTCATGATCTCACGGTTGTGTGATCAAGCCCTGTGTCAGGCTCTGTGGAGTCTGCTTCAGATACTCTCAAATAAATAAAATATTTTAAAAAATGTAAAATGTTGATAACTTTCATCACTTAGCAATATATTTTGAATAATTTCTTTATATTTAGTTTACATGGTTTTAAATAGCTGCATACAGTCTTATGGTTTTACCATAATTGTAGATAACCAAGTAAGTCCCTGCTGGTAGATATTTCCCATTTTTGACTAATGCTTTTTTTTTATATGAAAACCTTTGAACATAATAAATCTTTGTCCGTTTCTGATTTCCTTAGGACAAATCCCTAGAAGGGGAATCACTAGGTTAAGGGGACCATCACACCATTTTTTTAGGCATTTGGTAACATGTTGGTAAATTGCTCTCTAGAAAAATTTGACCCAGTTTCTGCTCTCATCAGCAATAACAATACTAATAATAATTAATTAATGTATAGTGAGTGCCTAAGATGTGCTAGTTCCTATGCTAACTACTTTATCCACTAATCCCCCCCAACACTGCTGAGAAGTTACTATCCTCATTTTATGGATGAAGAAACTAATATTCAGAGGTTAAATAATTTGCTCAACTCTGGGTATTACTGTTTAAATTTTTGCTGATACATTATCTCATCTGACTTTTAAGACTTCTTAATAGGGAAGCCTGTGTGGCTCAGTCTATTAAGCGCCTGCCTTCTGGCTCAGGTCATAATCCCAGGGTCCTGGGATGGAGTCCCGCGTCTGGCTCCCTGCTCAGTGGGAAGTATGCTTATCCCTCCCTCTCTACCGTCCCCCCCACTTGTGCTCTCTGGCTCTCCGTCAAATAAATGAAAACCTTTAAAAAATACGATAAGACTTTTGAATATACTAAAGTTTTTAATTTTTTGATTCTCATCAATAGTGATAAGTACCTTTGTTTTTATTTCATTACTCTGGATAGGCCAGGAGGGGAAAGACTAACTTTGGTTGCCTAGGATTTTCCTAAGAACCATATCCCCTGGTTAGTTAATCCCTTGCATTTTGCACATGCCAATGCCTCTATCTAAATTCTTGAAATTTTCTTAAGAATGCTACCTGCCTTCTAGATTTCACTTTATTTCTTTTTGTGTAGCCTTCCGTGCTAGATGGATGCACTCAGGCCTGATGCTAAAGGAGAAAGGTAAAGAAGCTACTTTTCTCACTGGATAGACAGCCATTCTGGCCTCGCTAAAAGATTGGGAGAAAGATTGGCCCAGAGCCACTTGGAAAGCACGCCATTAGCTAGAGGGAGAGAACATGGAGTATTACTCTTTAAATTGCTAAACCAGGTTTTTCCACCTGATAGATTACATTAAGAGCAAACAGGTTTTAGGCACAGCCGTTCTACCACCAATCGCTGCCTAATTTATCATCTCTTTGACTTAGAGGCATAAGAAAAAATCAGATTTTTTGAGGATTCCTTGAACTTTTTATTAACCAAGCTGAGTATAGTTTGCAGGCTTTTGGGGGCTTTATGAAAGTCCATACACTATAACACTACTGGAGGGAAGGATTGATCTTCATTGATGAGATCACAGTTATGCACAGTAAAACAAGGCAGTGTCCTAGTTTACTTGCACCACTTTATTTTGACTGATTGATTGATTTGAGAGTGAGAGCAGGCACACAGGAGTGTGTGAGTAGGGAGGTGGGCAGAGGGAGAGACTTCTTAAAGCAGCCCCCCCCCACTGAATATGGAGCAGGAATATGGAGCTCAGTTTCACAACCCATGAGATCATGACCTGAGCTGAAACCAAGAGTTGGACACTCAACTAAGTCACCTAGCTGCCCCTGCACCACTTTATTTTGAGTATAGTTTAATAAATAAAATTTTCAAGTTATTAGATATATGCC